TTGTGCTCAAGCCTTCTCTGCCAAGCCCCAGTCCGACTTTTTGTCCTGGGGTATCTTCGCGATCTTGATTTTTATTTTATTTTATTTTTTTCAAGGTTGTGCAGGCGGAGGTATAGGCAGGGCCTACCTTGACGGCCAATGCTATAATCACACTCCCACGTCATACCCAGGAAAGAGGGGAGGGGGGCATTCCGAGGCGGGGGACTCCCAATTGTACCCAGTCCCTCAGCGACCCTTCCCCCCCCAACTGACTGTGTATGTTGTAAGCACAGCCAGCAGGACGCTCAACTGGCAGTCTGGCAGATTGCGGCTATCACTTATGTCAGTGGAAGAAGCAATGGCTGCGATCCTGAAGGTGGGACCATCACTGCAATCCTGCCGCATGAGTGGTACGGTGGTACCTTTTCACGCTGCATGAGGAAAACCTGTCTCCACCTTCAGGAAATTTGTATTGGTACTGCTTTTGTGTGTGGCACACATATGGAAGCCATCACTTCCTCCCTGCCTTCCCAATGTTCCCTCTTAACTGCCATGTCATCATCTCCTGGCAGCCATGGTATCAGTTCAGCCTACACGTGCTGCTAAGAATCACACCCTCAGAGGACTACCATGGTTGCGATCTTGCTCAGTAGACTCTCTCTCTCTCTCTCTCTCTCTCTCTCTCTCTCTCTCTCTCTCTCTCTCTCTCTCTCTCTCTCTCCCCCACACACACACACAGGAGTATGCAGAAAGCACCTTGGAATACCCTTTCACACTCTCCGCCTTCTATGTCTGCGTGGAAAACATCTTCCGGTGCCTCGACACTTTCCTCCATGCCACCATGTACAGAAACCATCATACAACAGCCTTTGTTTTTTTTTCTCCCTCTTTTAAGAAGAGTGACAGCCTTGCGATATCATCGTGGAACTCACTGGGCCCAGGTAATCCAGAAATTCATTCAACTAGTTCCCTCTGGATTTGAACATGGGCCTGTATTTCAACAGTTCATGGGTGTACCCACTGAGCATTTGGCCCGTTGGTTAACCATGGCTTCTGACCACCCCCAGATTGTGTCTTTCTCCCAGGCAGCCCTTAGTGGGTGGGGGTAGCAGTTCTTTGGGACAGTCTGCTTTGGCAAGCAAATCCCAGGAGTGATTGAGGAATATGCGCAGACCGGACCCAACAGTCTATAGTTAGGGGTCTGGGGTGAGGATGGCAATATGACTAGATGCGATGCGCTTGATCATGTGACTGTGAATGTAGAGTGAGTGATGGCTTAAACCGCAAGTACACGGCCCCAGCCTTGCAGAAAGTTTTCCTCGCCACAAGCAAAACTTGGAGGCGCTGCGCGGCCAGGTGCGCCGTTGAATAAAAAAAAACAGCGGCGGCCTCCGAAGTGGTGCGGGTTTCATGCTGACATCCGCGGGGCCGGTGTGTGGTGTACCGGTGCTTAAAACCACCAGCACCTTTCCCCACTTGAAAATCAAATACGCGCCGATATAGTCGGGAGCCAAGCGGGCTTCGGTACGACCGGACCGGAATGGCTGGTGGCGCCAGCCAAAATGAGGGCGCCCGGCAGCAGGGCTGAAGAGGCCCCTTTTTCCTTCCCTGCTTGCACACTCATCCTCCTGCTCAGTCAATCCCCTCCTGTCTTCAGGGTAATCAATGCTGGCAGGCATTCAGGAACAATGCAGCGAGACCGTAATGAATGTCGTGTAAGGGACGCTGGACCCGATTTCCAGCAGGTGTTGCTCCCCACCAATAGATGGAGCCTCCCCAGGGGAGATAAAGGCGTCTGCTCATACCAGCACCCCTGGCTCCCAGGGTAGTTTTTTCTATTAAAAAAAATAGAGGCCCGCACCCGTTCATATTTTTTTGGCGCGCACTGCGCAGGGCGATTTTGGGCTCGGCATCGATAGCTGAGAAAGGTACCGGTGGTTCAAATAGCCTGGGTGCAAGTGGACTGGGTGTGACGTATCTGGTCAATACAGTGCTAGGCCTCAGGCTGGGTGAACTCTGGATGGGTGAGAGTTCAAATCTGCCGAGTTTCCGTACTCGGAAGCCTGAACCTGGTCAGATCTGAGAACTGCCTGCCGCCAGTCTGCACTGGGGAAGTTCAACTGGTCGAGGCCTACAGTCTTCCCCCGAATACAACGCATGGTGATTATAGCTGAATTTGGTCTATCTTTCAGTCTAAATTCAGCTATAATGACCGTGCGTTGTATTCGGGGGAAGACTGTAGACCCGTGTGGGATAGGCACATTTTCAAAAGGTCAACTTGAAGGTCTCTGGATGTTGACTTTCACCGAACTCCCAACCTTGTATGCAATGCCCCCTGCCTGACCTCGAACACCATGCGCAGCGGGCATAAGGCAGCACTATTCAGCAGCAGGCACAAGGCAGTGACGCCAGAGGCAGCGAGGCTAGAGGCAGTCTAATTAAACCACATGCTCCACTGCTTGTGCAGGCCCCCGTCAATTCCTTTGAATTTCAGTCTTGCGACCGTACTGCCCAGGCGGAGTGTTTAACGCGTGAGGCAAGAGGCAGCGAGGCAGAGGCAGCCAAACGAGAAGACAAGTGGCAGGGAAAGTGAAGGCAAGAAGCACGGAAACTTCGTCGGAAGGCGATGAGTACACAATGGGCAAGGCGCAGGGCAGCGAAACAAAGAAACAAGCTGCACGGAAAGACAAGGCAAGTAGCATGGATGGGTTGGGTGGTGGTGAAGCAACGTGCAAGGCACAAGGCAGCAAGGCGTGAAAGCAGTCAGAAAAGAACGCGCACTGCACAATGAGAGAGAGAGAGAGAGCTGTCTCTTATACACATCTAGATGTGTATAAGAGACAGTATCTAGCCTATCTACAATGCCGCTGGTGACGTC